CAAGTATCACGATTGGTTCGCTGCAGGGCATGCTTCTATGTATACCCATGTCATCTGCTGTGTATTTCGGCGTGAAAAGCGAATACATATACTCAGGTTACGGTTTGTGTATCTATATCTACAGCTTGGATCCTCGCTTGCCCGGCAGAACCCAAACAACATGAGCACTTTAGGCCTCTGACTCCAGTTCCGAGCTTCACACACAGGAATATTAGCATGATTAGAGCGCAAGAATATATTCTCCTCAGAGAAAGGTGCGCAAGCATATAGGCTTCATCTTACGATTTAGCGAGGTGTAGAACCAAGGGCACAGGACGACAATCGGTAGTGGTGTACCAGATGAGGTCAAAGCCCTCGACTCTGTGGTTTGAGGTGAAATTCAAGGAGGCCATCGACAACATGCTTGGCATCAGCAAGTTCCCAGCCATCGCAGTACAGAAGAAGGTCCACCCGATTGAAAACTCCAGGTTTACGTCCTTTAATCGTAGGGTGTCTGAATCCGGCGGCCTCCGGCATCCTGCCGCAAGGGCTTGAGTCCGGCTAAAAAGATACATGTTGACATTGAGATTCAGAAGTTCAAATCTCGGGTCTTTGGGGCCGACCTAAGACTGCATTTCTGCATCCGAAGACCATCCTTAAGAATTGCGTGCGTTTCGAGCGAAATCTACGCCTCCTGAACACTTTGGCGAGGCTGGGGACAAGAAAAAGTTTGTGTACACTGGTGCCATGACGGCGGCGCAGATCTCGCAGTTCATAGAGGAGAATTGGGGGTGCTCTGTTGTTTCGGGTAAAGGTCCGACTGAAAGTACTTGTCCTGTCGTAGTTGACAGTTACAGCCACTCCCCAAACCCGCCTCTTCGAATCACTTCCTGTCCCTATACTATTTCCATCCGCTGTGACTCGGGCCCGACTCTGGCCGCTCCTTTCGAGCAAGACAATACCGTACATGTAGTATGGGCTCCTATGCTTTAGCAGGTCGTAGCCTCTGCCTCTTTGATACCAAAGCTTGCATGATGTTGAAGCAAAAGCACTGCATCCCCATATACTGATGATACTACTGTAAATGATTATGCTCCAGTACAACCAATCGCTTCGTTGTTTCGTTACCGTAGCAGCGACCACCTGAAGCTCAGGATGTTAGCACAGGGAAGGTGCCCCCGTCGCTGAAGTCTGAGCCCAAGCCTGCCGTTCCTTGGCTGTGATTAAAGGGCATGCAGATACCAGACATGGTTTGCTTCTTGGTGCGATATGTACAGCTTGGAAATCACTGAACGACCGTGATGGTCATCGCCACCCCACCATCGAATCACAGTAGCTCCAATCACAAGCACCAGAGCCCTGGAGCCGTGCAATGATTCTCGCAGCAAGCAAAAGCAAGCATGCTCTTGAGGAGCGCATGACCTTGTCTGAGTTCGGGGCATTTCGCGTTCCGTGATCGAGTAATCAGCGGTAGCCCGGAGACTACTGACCACTGTCACCACGGCGTCCATTTACCCTTGTGACCACAGCATCACCGGTGACCCCACGATCTGTGCAAAAGACGTCGTCGCACTAAGCTAATTGAAGGCCAAGGCCTGAAGGTGGTAACGTGTTGAGACAATCTAATGTATGGACTTCTGGAGACTTTCGTTTGTGGTGATTTTATGGTTTTTACTTTTTACTGTTTGCCTTTCTGGAGTGTCACGCTTGCCGTTCCAGGGTTCCGAAACATTTGTGAAATATTTACGCAACGGTTTATTTGCGCTCTGCAAGGATGTTTGGTTTTGTTTGTTTTGTTGTTTTTGCTATGGTTTCGGCCCGGTGCCTAGCAACCCTACGAAAAATCAATGGTTTTCACCGGTTTTGATATGATTTTGGCCTCAAGAGGCTAGCAAGCATAAAACAACTTAAACAGACAGGAACGAACACACAAATCCATAAGTTTCATGAAAATGTATGAGTTGTTCTGTGTTTTTTGTGCTTTACGATGTTGGCTGCCTGGCCCCACAGGGGCCTTGGAAAAGTACGATTTTCATAGCAAAATCTTTCGGATTCATAGAGAACCCATTAAACTCCTCAGAAAACTTAGGAGAAAAGTCTGATTTCGCTAGGCAAATCATACAAAAATCATACAACATCCAACAATCCATAGGAAAACTTTTAAATTTGCGAGGATTTCGTCGCTCGGGCTAGCAACATCAAAAACAAACATAAAGACATCACGAACAACTCATAACATTTGATGTAAAATGTATGACGTTAGTATGGTTTGGTTGACGGCCTTGCAAAAGTATGACTTTGCTATCAAAATACTACAACAATCATACACAATCCAGGAAAATTCCTATCATAACTTAGAATTTTCTCAGGATTTCGTGGCCCGGGCGACCAAAAACTTTAAAATCAACATAACACATCCATAGAATTAAACAACAAAAAACCACAAACACACCATACGCAACTCATAAACAACACAACTGAATATATCAGTCCGCAAAAAATCGTAAATCCAAAACGTATC